CGCTCCCGCCCGAGGGTTCGGATCCCACATGCGGACCAGTTCCCGCTCACTGGCTGAGTGAGGCGCGGGAGCAACACCGAGGGTTGTGATCCCGTTGCTGGTCCCCGGTCTGGTACAGGGGCAACACTGAGGGTTGCGATCCGTTGCCGGACACGGAAAAAGACAAAAAAAGACAAAAATAAATAAATAAATAAACAGCTCTCATTCCTCCTGAGTCCTGCTCCAGCTCCTTTGTCTCAGGGCCCCTGTCCACCAGCCCATTTATCCCTGGGGTCACCACCAACCCCTGGATGATGGGGTGATATGCAGGAGGGAGCCCAGTGGTCGTGGGAGGAGGTTGATTGACACAGCTGTAGGGATAGTGGCTATTTCCCCACCTGTGGCAGAACAGGGCTAACCAACTTTCTGTGTCTAGGTCCTTGGCCATGGCAGGTGTGGTGTACCCCAGACAGGTGAGTGATGGGTTTCTGTCCCCTGTGACCATCTCAGCATCAGGCAGCCTCAACAAGCAGCTGCAAGAGAGGGCAGACTCCCTGGGGCTCCCTCTGGTCATCATTCTTGAATGACAGAGGGTTCTTTTTTTGTAACAAGCAGAGGAGAACTAAATGTTTACAATATTCTGGGGGTTCAGTTATTTATTCAGCATGCAAACAACCAGAAGCCATCAAATGGCCTTAAGTCAAAGAATGGCAAGCTGAGATCTCTTGTTTTGTATTATCTCTTGCCCTTCAGGCCCCTGTGGATTTAGACATATACCAAAGCTCCTACATGGTCGACTATAAACCCTACGGGAAGCACAAATACTCCAGGGTCACACCGCAAGAGGTAGGAAGGCACTCAAGTCTTATCATCCATTCAATTGTACATTGAAATTACCCTTATTTTATTTTTATTGTGAATGTGGACTTTGGGTCACTTATTCAGAACAACATCCAATGCCAGGAGACCTGACTTAGAGATCTTTTGTGTGTGTGTGTGTGTGTCTGTGTGTACATTTTAAAATGTACATCAAATGTGTCATGAGTACAAAAATTTGTAAGGAATTCATTTACAGTTTAAAGAACACTTATAAAACAAATGCCGGGTTGGCCTGTGGCTCACTCGGGAGAGTGCGGTGCTGACAACACCAAGGCCACGGGTTTGGATCCCTATATAGGGATGGCCGGTTAGCTCACTTGGGAGAGCGTGGTGCTGACGACACCAAGTCAAGGGTTAAGATCCCCTTCCTGGTCATCTTTACAAAAAATAAATACATAAGAAATAAAACAAATGCCAATGTGCCCATTATCAGCCAGCTTAACACACAGCACATTAACAGTTCCTCAGAACCTCCTGTGTAACCTCCAAACTTCCACCCCCCACCCCCAAAAGGAAGCCAATATTCTGGATTTTGGGTTAATCATTCCCTTGTGTGTGTTTTTCTAAAAAATAGTTTTACCCTGTATGTATGTATCCCTTTAAACAAATTATTTAGTTTCGCCCTTTTGAACATTATTATATATTGGATTATACTGTTCGTGCCCTTCCATAACTTTGATTTTTTGCTAAACATTGTGATGTATTCTTCATTTTCTGCTGTGTAGTGTTACATTGCGAGACTATGCCACGATGCATTTGTCCCTTCTCCTATTAGTAGACACCTGGGTTATTTGCTTTTTCCGACTCTGCCTACTCTCAAGTGCTGCGAGGAAGATGAGACACATCCTAACGTGAAAGACTTTATCCATCCCAGGATGGAATTGCTTGTCATAGCGTATTAGGTAAAGTCACTGCTTTCCAAAGTGGTTGCACCAATTTACGTTGTCACTTCTGTCACTCTCAATCTTGCCATTACTTGTTATTGTCAGACTTTTACATTTTTGCCAGTTTGGTGGGTGTGAAATCACGTTTTCCTGTGGTCATAGTTTTCACTTCAAGGGTTTGGATCCCTGTTCCGGCCAGTTGCCAAAAAAAAAAAAAAATTGGTAATAATTTTCATTTCACTATTAATGAGCTTGGGCATCTTTTCGTTTGCTTATGGAGATTTGTTACTCTGTAAAATGTCTGTTCATGTCTTCTGCCCATTTTTATATTGGGTTGCTTGTCTTTTTTTTTATTATTAATTTGTAGGAGTCCTTTAAATACTCTGGGCATCTTTTGTCACTTATATAGCTGGCAAAACTCTCCAGTTTGTGGTGTGTGCCCTCTCTCCTTCAGTGAATGCAAATTCTTATTTTTAATGTAGTCAGATATATCAGTCTTTTTCTTTAGCATTTTTCTCTTTTGAAGTGTAAGAAATCCTTTCCTATTTTGAGGCATTTCCTCTAAAAATAGAAAGATCTACACAAAAAAAGATGGAACAATTTCTGAGATACATTATTTAATGAAAGCAAAGTGCAGAATGGAATATAATACTATGCATCATTTATGTACAAACTGGGGAAGGGAGATATACACATATATGTTTATATGCACATGAAATATTTCTAGAAAGATACAAAAAACATTGATAATGGTGGTTGCCTCTGGAGATGAAAACTGAGGGAGGAATATAGTGGGAAAGGCTTACTTTTCACTATAAACCCATTGGTATTATTTCAGTATGTCCCTCTGTTATATGAGGGTACTTCAAAAAGTTCATGAAAAAATGAATTAAAAGATAATACAAATCCTTCCATGAACTTTTTGAAGACCCCTGTATATATTACCATCCAAAAACTAATTTAAAAAAAATTTTTTTTTTTAAAGATGACCGGTAAGGGGATCTTAACCATTGACTTGGTGTTGTCAGCACCACGCTCACCCAGTGAGCTAATCGACCATCCCTATATGGGATCCGAACCCATGGCTTTGGTGTTATCAGCACCGCACTCTCCCGAGTGAGCCATGGGCCGGCCCCTCTAATTTAAAATTTTAAAAAATAAAGAAAGCTGTGCTCTGCCTTGGATGCTTCCAAGGTGGCTACATCATCGTCTTGTGCCTCTCTCAGCCCTGCATTCATGTGTGATTTGTTTCCACAGCAGGTGAAGCTTGACACCCAACTCCGGGACAAAGAGTTTTACAGGGCCATCCCCAACCCCAACCCCAAGCTAGCGGATGGGTACCGTGCCTTCAAAAGACCCTACATGACTGCCAAAGACCTGGGACTCCCCGGCTTCTTCCCATCCCAGGACCGTGAGGCCACCATGGAGGATGAGTGCAAGTTCACCAGCATCTGCCCTTTCACGTACCCGGCTTCCCATGCTCTGCACCTGGCCTATGGCGATCCGAACCAGGTGCACCAGAGTGCTGACCTGCCGTGTCTCCTGGAGCCCGAGCACCAACCTGCTGTGGAGGAGGGCAAAGGCTACCTTCTACTGCCCGGCTGCCCCTGTCCTCATCACCCTACAGTCAAGCTCCCCATCTTGAACCGGTGGGGGCCCTTGATGCCATTTTACCAGTAGGGAGGGGAGGACACCTTCCCAGGGCAGTTCCGAGGGTGTGTGGAAATCTCATGTCCACTGCTCTCTGTCTTGGAATATAGAGTGGGGGACTGAAAATAAAACTAGAAAGATGTTCCAACAGCACTGGGACTGTCCTTGTTCTACCTTGCTACCTGGCCTGCCCTGGGGCACAGCATTACCACTTCAGAGGGACTGAGGGAGCAAGGAAGGGAGGGAAAATGGATGTGTATGGAAAACTGAAATTTGTTTCATGTTGCATTATAACTGAATCCTGCTGACGATTCTTACTGTTTTAGGCATTTACTTACTAAGTGAGAAAAATCATGTTTCCTATAGTCATCTAGATATTGGGTGTGATGGTAAGACTTGAGGTGCTCTTGGATAACTTTCCCCCTCAATATGCTTGTTTTAGTTTTTTCACACTCCCAACCTTGTACAATCAGTGGTAACAGTTCAGAGGGCATTGTTACATGCTTTTCTTCTTGCTCAGTGGAGCTTATGTAAATGTGTAAATGTAAGAGTCAGGAAATAGGCTAAGCCATGTAACAAAGTGAACCAAAACACAGTGGCTTGCCCAACATGCTAGTTTATTTCTCTCTCATCTAACTGTTCAGAGGTAGACAGTCTAGGAGGGTAGGACATCTTTGCTGTGGCTTTCATTTATGGGTCCCAGGGACTGCTGTGGACTGAACTGTGTACCCCGCAATTCATGTGTTGAGATCCTAACCCCCCATATGACTATTTGGAGATAGGGCTTTTAAGAGGTAATTAAGGTTGAATGAGCTATATGGGTAGGGCTCTAATCTGACAGGATTGGTGATCTTGTAAGAAGAGGAAGAGAAAGGGATCTCTCTATGAATGTGTGTGCCCTGAGGAAAGGTCATGTGAGGGCACAGTGAGAAGGCAGCCATCTCCAAGCCAGAAGAGCACCCTCACTAGAAACTGAACCCTGCTGGGCCTCGATCTTGAACGTTCCAGCCTCCAGAACTGTGAGAAAATAAATTTCTGTTGTTTTAGCTACCCAGCCTGTTGTATTTTATTACGGCAGCCTGGGGTGACTAATAGTGGCTAATTTAGTTGTTGACATTTTTCAGTTAGCAGAATGCAAGAAACACCCAGGAGGGTACAGGTACAATCCCTTTTAGGAGCATAATGAAGAAATGATATTCTTCACTTCCAGTCATGTCTTCTTGGGCACACCAAACCACAGGGCAGGCTGGATGGGAAATAAAACCTTTATTCTGGGTGGCTATGTGCCCAGCTAAAAATGAGGGGTTTGTTAGTATAGAAGGAGAGGCTAGATTTTGATGGATGACTATCCACATTTGCTGCAATATGTGAAAAAGCTTTCCCTTTGGGATCACACTGTGACCAGTGCTTCCCTTAGGGAATCTTGCTAAAATGCAGATGCTGGTTCAGTAGGTCTGGGCTGGGGGCAAGGTCCTGCATTTCCGACGAGCTCCCAGGCGATGCCAGTGCTGCCGGAGTGCAGGCCACATTTCAGTAGTGAGGTTGCACACAATACATCTTTGCTTTCTCCCCACCGGCCATTACTTATAGATTTAATTATTTTCAACAGATACCTGATATTCAACTATTTCCTTATTGGTGGATAAAAATGCTTTTCCAATTTTCTCCCTACAAAGAAGGTTGCAATAACTATTCATGAACATATATCCTTACATATTGATGCTTTTATTTCTGTAAGACAGTATCTTACAAGTGGGATTGCTGGCCAAATGGTATGTGTGTTTAGTGTTAATAGAAACTACCAGAATTTATTCCTAAGGGTCAACAGTCTCCATCCCACAAGCAGTGGGTGATAGTGCCTCTTTTCCTCTCTCCTCAACAGCACATGGATATAATCAATTTTTAATTTTGCCAACTTGATGGATGGAAAATGGTATCTAACCATAGTTTTAATTTGCAATGGCTTGGCTACTAGCAAGAAATAGGATATTTTTTACATCATTGGTCACTGGATTTCCTAGTTACATCTTTTTCTCTTGAGCTATCTGGATGGAAAATGGTATCTAACCATAGTTTTAATTTGCAATGGCTTGGCTACTAGCAAGAAATGGGATATTTTTTACATCATTGGTCACTGGATTTCCTAGTTACATCTTTTTCTCTTGAGCTATCTTTTTTTCCATTAGTTTATGGGAGCTCTTCGTACATTGATGATGTTAGCTCTTTTATCTAGCACATGTTCCAAATATGTTTTCTCCTTAATTTTAAATATGAAATTTTAAATATGCAATGTGAACATCTTTTTTCTAATATAAAATTAATAATGCCTTCAGTAGAAAATGTTGCAACATGAAGAAAAGTGTGAGGAAGACAAAGAAAACTATATATAATTGCACTGCTCAAACAGTGACAACTACTGCTGACATTTTGATGCCCCAGGGGGACAGGATAATGGTTAAAATCTTGGGCTGTGAGGTCAGACAAAACTGGGGTTTTGCCCACAGCTGAATTTACTATTTACTAGCTGATAGATATTCTAGAAAGTTATTTAATCTCTCTGAACAGCAATTTCCTCATCTGTAAGAGGCATTAATAATGCTCCTATTTTTTGAATGAACACTTTTGCACGGTGCCTGAACTATCACCAATGCTCAGTGAGATCTTTTATACACGTATTTACAAAGTTCACACAACACATAATTTTAAATCCTGCTTCGTTTTAGTTGCATTAACTGTAAACATTGCCATTTAACCTTAAAACTTTGTAAATGTCATTGCATAAATATACCTTCATTTACTATTGCTAGCCATTTAAGTTTTTTCCAATTATGCATTTTCTCTTACAAATAAGGCTACAGCACAAACTTTTAAATGTAATTAGGTAGAAAAGGAGAAACAAAGTTACTGGGTCCCAATGTATGAACATGTTCTTTATGCATATAACCAAATCACTTCCTAAACAGGTGTATTTTTAATATTAAAGAATGATTACTAATTTTGTTACGTGTGATAATGGAATTTTGGTTAAAAAAGTTCTTGTCTATTAGAGATATTTTCTCTTGAAATATTTACAGGAGAGATGATGTCTGGAATTTACTTTAAAATGCTGTAGCAAACAAACTGCATTGGTGGGGTAGGGAACAGGTGCAGAAACAAAACAAAAGTAGCAGCTGAGTGATGGGTGTGTGGAAGGATCTTCATGATCCTGCTCTCTCTGCTTTTGTGTATGTTTGAAATTTTGTATAATAAAAAATTAAAGTGGAAGAGAGGAAGGAAGGGAGGGAGGGAGGAAGGAAAGGATGGAGGAGAAAAAGAAAGGAAAGGAATAAAAAAAAAAAGAAAAAGAAGAAAGAGGTACCCCTTTAGACTACTGGTAGCCATTTATAAGAGTATCTAATTCACAATGTCCTTGTCATCCCTGTTACTCTGATGAAAGAAAAAGAAAGAAGAAAAAAAGGAAGAAAGGAAGGAAAAAAGGAAGGAAAGAAAGGAGGAAGGAAGGAAAAGACTTATTATGACAGGAGTACAGTCTCTTTGATCCTTGGTGAGGCTGAATAATTTTTCACATAATCTTTATCTTTTCATCAGTTGTAAAATGTTTCCTTTTTTTTTCAAAAGATGACTGGTAAGGGGATCTCAACCCTTGGCTTGGTGTTGTCAGCACCACGCTCAGCAAGTGAGCTAACCGGCCATCCCTATGTGGGATCCGAACCCGTGGCCTTGGTGTTATCAGCACCGCACTCTCCCCAGTGAGCCACGGCTGGCCCGTAAAATGCTTCCTGATCAGTGTGCTCCTTTCTCCCTATCCTGTTACAGTCTTTAGTGAATCTATTTTATCCATAACACCTTCTAAGATGTTTATAGAAGAAAGTATCTACAAGAGAAATTTCACTACTTCTCAGTGCTTGTTAATAAATTATTTTTCAGTGGTGCACCATGTGGATCAGAGGACAGTTTTAACACATGACTATTTCCACACAATGCTTTAGCTGAGGCAAAAATATTAATAACAATAGATGCTCTTTATTACATGCTAGGCTCTGTGCTATGCACACCACACGCATTATTTCATCCTCATATACAGATGAGGAAATAGGTTCAGAGAGGTTAAGTACCCAGTTCAAGTCCACACATGGTCAGAATCCAAATCCCAGATTTATCTGACTCCAATTCCAAAGTTTCAGTCATTTCTGAAACCTTGAATGTCATTTTTACTCTAAATAAATGATGAAAAGTCCTTTAATACAGCAGTTGTCTTGCTCCCTAATGCCCACATTTCATTGATTAACTACCAATTGGTGTGAACAACTGTCTGGAGAAAAAAGACCAACTGGATTCAGGGCTCCCCTTCAGTAGTTCTTAACCTGAGATGTTCAGGAGGCCCCCAAACCTCAGAAACTTCTCTCAATATTCCGGGGAGAGCATTGCAGTCTCAAGAGGGGTGTGACTGGTTGAGCTCAAGTTGAGGGGTTAAGGATACAAAATGGATCAGAGACGTGCCTGGACACCATCACAGAAAGATATACCTGTGCCCTGGGAGTGGACAGAGAAAGAGGACTACTGTGACCTGGGTTGGAGCAGGAGAGGACAGCAGTAGGGAAGCCCAGGGAGGGATCAGGCTCAAGGGAGGAGGATGAGTTGAGACCCAGCAGGCTGCTTTGGAGGTGCTTGCTGCACCTTCCCACAGCAGGCTGATGAAGCTGGGCTCTGTCTGAGAAACAGCCACCAAAGTCCTGAGATTCTGCTCAGAAATCTCTTTTGGATTGGGCCCTCCATCCAGACCCCGGGAGGCTTCCTCTCAAGGCACAGGTCTGATTATTTATCATCTCCTCAATAAACACCCACTGCACGGGGACCTCGTATCAGCCCTTCCCTCCGACCCCTGCATGCACACTCACCATTTTCCCACCTTCATGCCTTTGCACTTGCTGTTTCTTTTCATCTGCTAGAAAACCCTTTCTTCTGCTTCCCCCCATGGAGAAGCATGTATAGACAAGCTCTTGTCCCCAACAGCTTGCTCCCTGTGTGCT